GGCTGCACAGGTGTTCCTTCAGATAGATGTTCCCCTTAGATGTTCCTGGTGCATGTTGTCTCTCTCCTCCTTTATAGTCCTCCTCCGCCAATCCCAACTCGGCTGCCCACACACCGAGTACGCTGCTCTCCTCCAATCAGGAGCAGGTCCTACAGTTTATTGGTTGAACTGGAGGCAGCTGTGTAGAAGCTGTTTCCTCCTCTCCCAGCGCCATATTGTGGGAGAGCAGATGCATAGAATAAGTCTTAATTCCAGTAACTTAGTCTAGTCCGAGTTGCTCCCCACAATCAGCCAAACGAGGAGCTGGTTTTTTGAAAAAATAAACAAAATTGATGCCCCACTGTCCCAACTAACTAAAAAAAGATGACCCAAATCAATACAATCAGAGATGAAAAAGGAAATGTAACAAGAGACACCGCAGAAATAAAAAGAATCATCAGAAATTACTACAAGGACCTGCATGCCAGCGAACAGGGAAGTCTATCAGAAACACACAGATTCCTGGACACATGCAACCTACCTAAATTGAAGCAGGAAGACATACAAAACCTAAAAATCCAATAACTGAGACAGAAATTGGAACAATAATAAAGGCCCTCCCAACAAGAAAAGCCCAGGACGAGATGGATTCACTGCTGAATACTCCCAGACATTTAAAGAAGAACTGACTCCAATTCTACTCAAACTATTCAGAACAATCGAAAAAGAGGGAATCCTCCCAAATTCTTTCTAGGAAGCCAGCATCACCTGAATTCCTAAGCCGGAAAAAGATGCAGCATTGAAAGAAAATTACAGACCAATATCCCTGATGAACATAGATGCAAAAATCCTCAATAAAATTCTCGCCAATAGAATGCAACAACACATCAGAAAGATCATCCGCCCAGACCAAGTGGGATTTATCCCTGGTATGCAGGGATGGTTTAATGTGCGCAAAACAATCAATGTGATACACCACATTAACACACTGCAAAAGAAAAACCATATGATTATCTCAATAGATGCCGAGAAAGCATTTGATAAAATACAACACCCTTTCATGATGAAAACTCTAAGCAAACTGGGTATAGAAGGAACATTCCTCAATACAATCAAAGCAATTTACGAAAAATCCACAGCCAGCATCCTATTGAATGGGGAAAAGTTGGAAGCACTTCCACTGAGATCCGGTAACAGACAGGGATGCCCACTCTCACCACTGCTATTCAACATAGTTCTGGAAGTTCTAGCCAGAGCTATTGGGTAAGAAAAGAAATTAAAGGGATACAAATTGGGAAGGAAGAAATCAAACTATCCCTCTTTGCAGATGATATGATTCTTTATTTAGGGGATCCAAAGAACTCCACTAAGAGACTATTGGTTCTCATAGAAGAATTTGGCCATGTAGCAGGATATAAAATCAATGCACAAAAACCAACAGCCTTTGTATGCACAGGCAATGCCACAGCTGAGAAAGAACTGCTAAGATCAATCCCGTTCACAATAGCCACAAAAACAATCAAATACCTTGGTATAAACTTAACCAAGGATGTTAAAGATCTCTACGATGAAAATTACAAAACCTTAAAGAAAGAAATAGAAGAGGATACCAAGAAATGGAAAAATCTTCCATGCCCATGGATGGGAAGCATCAATATCATCAAAACGTCCATTCTCCCAAAAGTAATTTATAGATTCAATGCAATACCAATCAAGATACCGAAGACCTTCTTCTCAGATCTGGAAAAAATCGTGCTGAAATTCATATGAAGACTCAGGAGACCTTGAATAGCTAAAGCAATCTTGTACAACAAAAACAAAGTCGGAAGCAACACAATACCAGATTTCAGGACATACTACAGGGCAGTTGTTATCAAAACAGCATGGTACTGGTACAGAAACAGATGGATAGACCAATGGAACAGAATTGAAACACCAGAAATCAACCCAAACATCTACAGCCAACTTATATTTGATCAAGGATCTAAAACCAATTCCTGGAGCAAGGACAGTCTATTCAATAAATGGTGCTGGGAAAACTGGATCTCCACATGCAGAAGCATGAAGCAAGACCCCTACCTTACACCTTACACAAAAATCCACTCAACGTGGATTAAAGACCTAAATCTACGACCTGACACCATCAAGTTATTAGAGAACATTGGAGAAACCCTTCAAGATATTGGCACAGGCAAAGAATTTCTGGAAAAGACCCGGGAAGCACAGGCAGTCGAAGCCAAAATCAACTATTGGGATTGCATCAAATTGAGAAGTATCTGTACTGCAAAAGAAACAGTAAGGAAAGTGAAGAGGCAATGGACGGAATGGGAAAATATTTGCAAACTATTCAACAGATAAAGGGTTGATAACCAGAATCTACAAAGAGATCAAGAAACTCCACAACATCAAAACAAACAACCCACTTAAGAGATGGGCCAAGGACCTCAATAGACATTTTTCAAAAGAGGAAATCCAAATGGCCAACAGACACATGAAAAAATATTCAAGATCACAAGCAGTTTCACCTCACCCCAATTAGAATGGCTCACATTCAGAAATCTACCAACAACAGATGCTGGCGAGGATGTGGGGAAAAGGGACACTAACCCACTGTTGGTGTGAATGCAGACTGTTAAAGCCACTATGGAAGTCAGTCTGGAGATTCAGCAGAAACCTGAACATAACCCTACCATTCAACCCAGCCACCCCACTCCTTGGAATTTACCCAAAGGAAATTAAATTGGCAAACAAAAAAGCGGTCTGCACATTAATGTTTATTGCAGCTCAATTCACAATAGCTAAGACCTGGAATCACCCAAATGCCCATCAATAGTAGACTGGATAAAGAAATTATGGGAAATGCACTCTATAGAATACTATACAGCAATCAAAAATAATGAAATCAGGTCATTTTCAACAAAATGGAGGAATCTGGAAAACACCATGCTGACTGAATTAATCCAGTCCGAAAGGGAAAATATCATATGTTTTCCCTGATCATTGACAATGAACTGAGCACCAAAGGGGAAACTTGTTGAAGTGAAATGGACACAATGAAAAACAGTGACTTGATCAGCCCTTGTCATCACTGTTGCTATACAATTTAATACTTTATCCCTTTTAGTACATTTTGTTCTAGTACTATTGGGTTGAACTCCGTAATTAACACACAATTATTCTTAGGTGTTTAAATTTTAACTGAAAAGTGATCCCTGTTAAATATAAGAGTGGGAATAAGAGAGGGAGGAGATGTACATTTTGAAACATGCTCATTTGAACTTGCCCCAAATGGTGGAGTTAGAAACCTGCCAGAGGATTCCAAGTCAATCCCATCAAGATTGCATGTACCAATGCCATCTCACTAGTCCAAGTGATCAATTTCAGTTCACAACTGATCACACTGATAGGTCCAAGAATCACAGGGATCACAAAAACAAGATTAGTGTCTGCTAATACTAACTGACAGAATCAAAAAGGGAGAGAACAATCCAACATGGGAAGCGGGATACACAGCAGACTCATAAAATGGCAGATGTCCTAAATGGCACTCTGGCCTCAGAATCAGCCCTTAAGGCAGTCAGAAATGGCTGAAGACCCCATGAGAGTATTTTAGGCATGGAAAGCCAAGACACTCTGGGGTAAGAAAAAAAAAGAAGACCTAAGTGGAAGATCTCTGCGAGTGAGATCCCAGTGGAAGGAACGGGGCCATCAAAGAAGGAGGTACCTTTCTCTGAAGGGAGGAGAGAACTTCCACTTTGACTATGACCCTGTCGGAATAAGATCGAAGTTGGCGAACTCAAAAGGCTTCCATAGCCTCAGTAACTCATGACTAGAGCCTAGGCAGATTATTGATGCCATAAACAAGAGTGCCAAATTGTTAAGTCAAGAACAGGAGTCACTGTGTCCTTACTCCTCATGTGGGATCTGTCCTTAAGGTGTTGTCCTACGTGAAGTAATGCTATAGCTAGTACTGAAACAGTATTTTACACTTTGTGTTTCTGTGCAGGTGCAAACTGATGAAATATTTACTCAATATATACTAAATTGATCTTCTGTATATAAAGATAATTGAAAATGAATCTTGATGTGAATGGAATGGGAGAGGGAGCTGGAGATGGGAGAGGTGCGAGTGGGAGGGAAGTTATGGGGGGAAGCCATTGTAATCCATAAACTGTACTTTGGAAATTTATATTTACTAAATAAAAGTTTAAAAAAATAGAAAGAAAGAAAAGAATATATTTGCAACTTAAAAAAAAACAGCAAAAAAACCACCAATCAGGTTATGAAATTGCCAAAGGAACGCAACAGACAGTTCCCCATAGATACACAGATGGCCAACAAATATAGGAAAAAATGCTCAACATCACAAGCTATCAGGGAAATGCAAGTCCAAACTACAATGGGATATCAGCTCACACGTATATACTGGCTAAAACCGAAAGGACAGAGAGTCACAATGAGGAGGAGGATGTGGGAAAAGTGGAACACTTACACACTGGTGGTAAAAATTTAAATTAGTGCAACTACTGTGGAAAACGATATAAAGATTTCTTAAGAAAATAAAAACAGACTTGTCATATGATGGAACAATTCCTCTACTGATATAACCCAAAATACATGAACGTATTGTATCAGAGATACGTTCACCACAATATTTATTGCAGTATGCTTCACGGCAGGGAAAACAAGAAATTGTCAAGGACTTCAAACATCATCAGTTGAATGGATAAGAATAATTCTCTATCTCTCTGTACACAGACACACACACACACACACACACACACAATGAAACAAACTTACAAATTCCTCTTTCCACAGACTTTTTCATTGACCCTCATGATGCTCTCTGCAATATCTTAAATAACTAGAACAAATGTGGGCACATAGCAGACACTCCTTTGAAAGCCAAGAAAAATATATTTACCAAGAGAAACTCCTCTGCCCATATTCTGACTTCCACAAGCCACAAACTTCATTCATAGGCTAAAACATGTTCTCCCTGTTCCCAAGACCCCTATCAACCCAGTTTTCTTTCAGATAACATCTTCTCCATCTCTTGGTAGTCTGCACACTTTGGTCAAATTTCCTGATTAACTCAGCACCCATTCCCCAGTCCCTCCTGAAAGTTCCCTCTGCCCGCCTCCTGATATCCCTTCCCTCACTTTTCGTAAGGTTTCTCCCCAGGGCCTATCCTGGACCTCACACTCTGATACTCCACTAGTTCTTACAAGCAGACCTATTACAGCTCTTCCCTATTACAACTCTCCTCAAAGTTGCCTGCCTTCCTCCCCACAATCCTTCCATTTCCTTTTTCTATCATAGGATGGTGACATACAGACACAAACTGTTTTCAGCTCCCAAAACCTTGCACGCCCCAGGTTCTTCCATGGCATCTAACCCTCCACTCCCACTGCATGAAGTACTTGCAATCCCATCGTCCTTAGCCTGAAAATCTAAAACCCAAACAACTATTACCACATCTCTCCAAACCAGACTCTTATGTTTTTCCTCTGATTAAACATTTGACAGTTTTCCTCCCAGATTCCCCTCCCACTGCCTGGACAACCATTCTTCCCTTCTTAGCATGTTCTTTGCCCCACAATTCTCGGCAAAGCCCCAGGGAAATCATTCGCCAATATCTTATTCAACTCTGTCTCTGTGGTTCCTCTATTCTAGGAACACTAGACCCCCACATTTCTGTCTCCACATGTATATAGGGCTCCCACCACTTGACCTTCCTTCACAAAGTCTGGAAGTCCACTTTGCTGTCAGCCTGGCAGCCCAACCCCAGGGCACAGGGTTCCCTTCCCTTCCCTTCTCTCCTCCTTGGGCCCAAGGGCTGCCATCAACAGGACACAGCCACATGTACTACTAACCAGTTGCTCCTGTCCAGGGTGAAGGCACAGCTGGGTTTTACAAGAAAGCAGAGCAGTCCCCAGAAATGGAAGATTACCCAGCAGCTGAACTTCCGTGTCAACTCTGTGTCCAATTTCATATCCATGAAAATGTCTACAATAAAGTTACAAAACATTAAGAAATGGAAGACGACACACAAAAATGGAAAAATCTTCCACGTTGACTCATTGGCAAAATCAACATAATGCAAATATCCATTCTACCATAAGCAATTTACAGACACAATGGGATCCCAAGCAAAGGTCAAATAGCATTTTGCCCAGATGGAGAGAAAACAATGCTAAAATTCATATGAAAACACAGAACATCTGAATAGAGAAGGCAACCTTAAACAACATTGACAAAACTTGCAGCATCACAATAACAGATTGCAAGACACAGCACAGGACAGTTACAATCAAAACAGCATGCTATAGGCAAAAAAAAAAAATGACAACAATGGAACAGAAAAGAAACACCTGAAATAACACACACATCTACAACTAATCTATCTTTCAAGAAGGAGCTAAAGATCAATCCCAGGTTCAAAGGACCGTTTCTTTATAAAAAGGTCCTGAGAAAACTGGACCTCTACATGCAGAAGTATGAAAGAAGACCCATACTTTCCACCTTATACAAAAAGCAACTAAAACACGTCAAGGAACAAAATCTAAACCTCAATATCATCATATTATTAGAGAACATTGGGGAATACTGGAAAACATTGGCTTAAAGAAAGATTTCTGGGACAAAATGCCAGTAGCACAATAAAAGCTGAAACAGACAAATGTGATTCCATCAAGCTGAGAAGCTTCTGCACTACAAAAGGAACACTCAGAAAAGTAAAGAGGCAACCAAAAGGATGGGAGAAACTATTTGCTAACTATGAAACTGATAAAAGATTAATATCCAGGCCAGCGCTGCCGCTCAATAGGCTAATCCTCCACCTGCAGCGCTAGCACTCTGGGTTCTAGTCCCGGTCAGGGCGCCAGATTCTGTCCCTCTTGCTCCTCTTCCAGTTCAGCCCTCTGCTGTGGCCAGGAGTGCAATGGAGGATGGCCCAAGTCCTTGAGCCCTGCACCTGCATGGGAGACCAGGAGAAGCACCTGGCTCCTGGCTTTGGAGCAGCGTGGTGTGCTAGCCGCAGCAGCCAATTGGGGATGAACCAATGGAAAAAGGAAGACCTTTCTCTCTGTTTCCCTCTCTCTCACTGTCTAACTCTGCCTGTCAAAAAATAAAGATTAATATCCAGAATCTAAAAAGAGCAAAGTCAAGAGGCTTTGAATAAGAGAAAATAATCTGCCAACTATAAAACTTATAAAAGATTAATAGCCACAATCTACAAAGAGTTCAAGGAACTCAACAACAACACAAAAATTACATTTAAAAATAGGCAAAGGACTTGAACAGGCATGTTTCAAGAGAGGAACTTCATATGGCCAACAGACACATGAAAAAAGGCTCAGGATCGCTAGCCATCAGGTTTCACCACACCACAGTCAGAATGGCTCTCATACTAAAATCAACAAATGATAAATGCTGCTGAGGATCTGGCACTATGCTACCCTAATACACTGTTGGTAGAAATGTAACCTGGGGAAGCCATTGCCTAAGACAGTATGGAGATACCTCAGAAAGCTGAAAATAAATCTTCCATATGACTCAGCAATCCTTCTCCTGGTGATTTACCCCTAGGAAATGAAATCAGCAGATTTTAAAGGGTTATCTGTACCTCCAGGTTTACTGCAGCTCAGTTCACAATAGCTGAGATACGGAATAAAACCTGATGTCCATGAACTGATGACAGGAAGTCGAGAGTCTCCAGAAGAACAAGATTGCCTGGCAGCTGAGGTTAAGTGTCCACTCTGCATTAGTTTCACATCTGAGTCCTTCTTAGGGGGGGAGGTGAGGCAGACAGCTGCATCATGGCTTCCTCACACCTGAGCCCCTGCCCAACCCCCGCTGCCTCTGAACCAGTGGATTTGCAGGGAAAACACTGCTGGGAAGCACCGGGATCCCCCATCCTTTGAGGCAGGCCCTGGGCATCTCTCTGTCCAAAAACTTAAACACAACAAGTCCATCCTGCACTCTACAAGCCTACTGAACCGCTACTGCCAATGCCAGCCAACAACGACACTGCCTTGGATATAGCCTACTTCTCCCCTAGGCCTACTGCGCAAGTACCACCCAACTAACACCCATCCCTTCCTCCCAGAAACACAGCGTCAGCAGAACAGGCCGCACTGCCTTGAAGAACCAGGGGCCACAGCCTGAGCCCCAGCCTGACATGCCTTTCCTGTGCTCACCATGATCAGGAGCACTCCAAGGGCATCGTTGCTCCCAATCCAGCCCACCAGAACCTCAGGGCAGTGTGGAGCTCTCTACACCTCCCGGGCTAACACCCAGCCTCTCCCACATGGCGCACAGCTCTGCCAAACTGCCCATGGTCAGGGCTACTGAACGGCAGATACCTGCCCAGCATCCTTGGCCTGGTCGGTGGCAGGGTTGCTGCCCGGAGTCAGACAAACAAGTGCACAATGTGTTATGCCCCTGACAGGGAGGTAGGGTAGGGACTATCACTGTGTACCTAAATTGCATTTATGAAATGCATGGAATTTGGATCTCTTAACTAAAAAACAGTATCTTACAAGAACACCTGAACTGTCTTCTCTTGGTCGTTTCCTAGCCCCTCCCCTATGTCAAAATTGTAGGTGACACAGTTGCTCATCACTTTGTCCCTGAGAACAGGCTGCCTTGTTTGAAATACTAACTCAGAACATTTCATCCCACAACTTGCAGAATACATATTCTTCTCATCAGTCCCTGGAGCTTTGTCTAGGACACAACATATGATAGGATATAAAGCAAGCCTAGAAAACTCAATAACTGAAATCAGTTCATGCATCTTCTATGATCAAAATGAAAGGAAACAGGAAATCAACAACTTAGGAAACTCCAGAACATATGCAAACACATGGAGTCCGAGCAACATGCTCCTGAATGAATGGTTGGTCTTAGGAGAAATCAAAATGAAAATCCAGAAATTTCTGGAAATGATTAAAGATAACAGTACAACATAGCAAAACGTATGGGACACAGCAAATGCAATGTTAACAGGAAACTTTATAACAACTTGTGCCTACAACAAGATATTGGAAAGGAATCAAATAAATGAGCTTTTCAATGCATCACAAAATCTAGAAAAACAACGTATCAAACTCCAAATTAGTAGGATGACAGAAATCATGGAAATTTGAGAAGAAATGAACAAAGCTGAAGAAAAACATTATAAAAGATCATTGAGGCCAGCGCCATGTCTCAATAGGCTAATCCTCCACTTGCGGCGCTGCCACACCGGATTCTAGTTCTGGTCGGGGTGCCAGATTCTGTCCCGGTTGCACCTCTTCCTGTCCAGCTCTTTCCTGTGGCCCGGGAGTGCAGTGTAGGATGGCCCAAGTGCTTGGGCCCTACATCCGCGTGGGTGATCTGGAGGAAGCACCTGGCTCCTGGCTTCAGATCGGTGCAGTGCACCAGCCAGAGCGGCCATTTAGAGAATGAAGCAACAAAAAGGAAGACCTTTCTGTCTCTCTCTCTGTCTAAATCTGCCTGTCCAAAAAACAATAAAAAGATCACTGATATGAAAATCTGGTTAAAAAATATTTTTTAGAAAATTGCTGAAAATCTCCAAAACAACAACAACAACAACAAAACAGGAATAAGACCCCAATCAGTAAAATCAGAAATGAAAAACAAACTGTAATAATAGAAACCCAATAATAAAAACAACTATCTGGAATTCCTACAATGTACTGTTTGCCAATGAATTGGAAATTCTTGGAAAATCTCCCTCACTCCATAAATCTGCCTTTCAATTAAATAAATATTTAAAAAACATAATTATTTCAATAGATGAAAACAGCTGGAAAATATGCAAAAACCTTTCAGAAAGAAAACCTCAGGGAATCTGACAACAGAAAGAACATTCCTCTACACAATCAAGGCAATTTATGTCAAACCGACTGATAGCATCTTATGAATGGGGACAAGTTGGAAGCATTCCCAACTACGATCTGGAATCAGACAAGGATGCACTCTCATTATTGCTATTCAATATAGATCTGGAAGTTTTAGAGCCATTAGGCAAGAAAAAGAAATCAAATGGATACAAATTGGGAAGGAGGAAGTCAAACTATCCCTCCTTCAAAAGGACATGATTTTATAAATGGGGGAACCAAGAAACTCCACCACGAGACCATTAAAACTCATAACAGAGTTTGGAAAAGTGGCAGGATATAAAATCAACACACAAAAATCAATAGAATTTGTATACACACAATATCAGGGCTGAGAAACCACTTCGAAGATCCATTCCATTCACAATAGCTACTAAAATTTAAATAACTTTGAATAAAGGTATCCAAGGAGCTTGAAGCTTTAAAAAGCAACTCCAATACTTTTACAACTATTTCAAAATAATAAACTGGAAGCAGTAGGATTCAACTCTAACAAACACTTTTTGAGAGGCCGGCATTACTTTAACCACAAAAGATAACAAAACATGAAATACAAAGAAAACTGAAGGCCTATATGCATAATGAAAAAGATGCAAAGATTCTTAACAAAATTCTAGCCTAACAAAACCAAAACCACATGCTGAAGCTCACATAAAACCTTCAATTGGAATTTATATCAGAAATGCCATGATGTTCCACATTTGCAAATTAATACACATGATGAATTTTATCAAAAAAATGGAAGAATAAAACCACATTGTCTGGGCTGGCGCTGTGTTACAGAGGGTTAAATCCAAAACACATAATGCCGGCATCTCATATGGGTGCCATTTAGCATCCAGGCTGCTCCACTTTCAATCCTGCTCCCTCCTAACATGCCTGGGAAAATGTCGGAGGATGTCCCAATTAGTTGGGGCCATGCAGCCACATGGGAGACTTGGAAGAAGGTTCTGGATCCTGATGGCTCAGTTTGGCCATCAAGGTCTTTTGGGGAATGAACTAGCAAACAGAAGACCTCTCTCCCTCCCTCCTTCTCTTTTGCTCTTGCTCTACTTATATCTCTCTGTATAAATCTTGCAAACAAATGAAATAAATCTTTTGAAAACCACATCATCTAATTAGATACAGATATCAGTAGAATAAAAAATGATTAAAAACTACACAAAATATACACAGAAGGAATACATATCAATATCATAATGGCTATGTATGACAAACCAACAGCCAATGTCATGCTGCATGGGGAGAATGTGAAATCATTTTGTCAAACATATAACAACACAAAGATGTCCCTTTTACCACTCTTACTGAATGCAGTCTCCATATGGGAGACCTGGAAGAAACTCCTGACTCCTAGCTTTGGATCAGCCCAGCAATGGGCCCTGTGGCCATTTCGGGAGCAAAGCAGCAGATGGAAGACCTCTATCTCTGTGTTTCCCTATCTCTGGATCTCTGCCACTTAAGAATATATATTTTTTTGAAAAAAGATCACTACGCAGCTCACGTGGAACTTGCCCACCCTACCTTTAACTGATGAAGAATTAAGAGTGGGAACAAGAGAAGGAGGAAGAAGAAGGCTGGGAGTGCAGGCTTGAGAGATGCTAGCATGGGAAGTAGTATCAGTATGTTTGAATCTGTATATAAGAAATACATGAAATTTACATACCTGATATAAAATTTTAAAAAGTACATAATCTTCTAACCAGACTAACAAAAATGATAAAAACTCCAGTAAATAAAATTACAGAAAAAAAGCAGAGATTATAATCTACATCACTGAAACACAAGGTTTCAGAGAAATTGCTATTCAGTACTATATGCTAATAAACTGGAAAACTAGAAGAAACAGAGGAATCCCTGGATAACAAATACACGTGACCTACTAAGATTAAATCCAGAAGATATAGACAACCTAAAAAGACTCATAAAAATCAATGAAAACTAAAACACCCACCAAAAACACTGCTAGAACTGACGAAATAAATAAGTTAGAGGTTACAAATAAACATACCTTGTAACCCGCAGTCCTGTCCTCCAGCGCAAGCCCAGCCACCCGCTTCTCCGCTTCCCACAGCTGAGCCGCCGCCTGCCCCCACGGCCGCCAGCCTGTGGACATGAGTGTCTACACTGCTCCGAGGAGCCACGACCCCCCCCCCCCCCCGCGACGAGGTCCCAGGCCTCTCATTGTTTCATAAGAAAAACTCACCTTCACTCCCGCACTCTCTGGGCCAGTACAGCTGCCGAAAACGCCGCCATCAGCCGAGAATTCCGGCAGCCGACGACATGCCGCCACCAGCAGATAATACCGTCTTGCTCTCCACCAGGCCGACTGCGCAAGCACCAGCCATCTAGGACCCGCCTCTTCCTCCCAGTAAGCACAGCAGCACCGGAAGCTGCCAGGCAGCGTCAAAAACGTGGGTGACAGCAGTCTTGGCTCCGGGCTAAGACTGTGTTGATCTCCGATGTGCTCCAGGTAAGAAACGTTTTCTGGTAAAAAAAAAAAAAAAAAAAAGAAAAAAAAAAAAAGAAAAACCTGTCATTTGCAAAAAGAAAAAAAATGGATGCAACTGTAAAACCTTACACTTTAAAATAACCCTTTCCAAAAAAAGACAAACACTGTATATTCTCCCTGATCTGTGGTAACAGAGTACCTAAAAGGTGAGCTATATTAGTGATATTGATACTTTGACGTACAATGATTTAGACAACTCTTGTCTTGCAGATAGAATGATTTTAAACAAACCATGTCTTGCCTCTTCAGGAACAGATTTTTTTTAATTCTTTCAAACTGTTGAATTCTTTACATAGTGCAGGCTTTATATTATGAGTATAAAATAATTGAAAATAGATTTTTGTATAAAATAAGAATGGGAATCGTGGATAGAGGATGAAGAGGGATGGGAAATAGGACCGGTGCTGTGGCCAAGCAGGTTAACACCCTGGCCTGGAGCACCAGCATTAAATATGGGCGCCAGTTTGAGACTGGCTTCTGCACTTGCGATCCAGCTCTCTGCTATGGCCTGGGAAAGCAGTGGAGGATGGCCCAGGTCCTTGGGCCCCTGACCCATTGGGAGACGCAGAAGAAGCTCCTGGCTCCTGGCTTCAGATCAGCACAGCTCTGACCATTGTGGCCAATTGAGGAGTGAACCATCGGATGGAAGACCTCTCTATGCCTTTCCTCTCTCTGTGTAACTCTGACTTTCAAATAAATAAATAAATCTTTAAAAAAATGAAGAGGGATGGGAGCATGTTCGGGTCGGTGGGTAGGAGTGAGCGAGGGTAGAGTGGGAATAATTAATGTTTCTAAATTTGTATATATGAAATACATCAAGTTTGAATACTTTAAATCAAGTTTCCAGGTAAAAAAGGGAGGTAAAATTTTGAATGATTCATTATGAGAGAGAGAGCTAGAGATAGCTCTCATCTACTGAGTCACTCCCCAAATGCCCTCAAGATGGGACTAAAGCTGAGAAGTAGGATCTTCATCCACGTCTCCCACATGGTTGACAGGAACTAAGGCCTTGAGCCACCCTCCAGGATACACAATAAGGTAGGCCATAAGTCTCAGCTAATTCAACAAATATCAAAATCATACCATGCATCTTCCACAACTACATGGAATGAAGGGGCGAATGACCACACCAAGAACATCAAGAACATATACAACCACATGGAGACTGAACATGCTCCTGAATGAACTGTGAGTCAGAAAAAATTAAAAAAAGATGAAAACGAATACAGATGACAGTATAACATATCAAAACTTATCAGATACTGGAAAGTTTAGAGAAATTGGTGCCTATACCAAGAAATTGGAAAAGAATCAAATAAGTGAGCCACCAATGTAGCACCCTTGAAAAAAAATGAAATCAAATGCAAAATTATCAAGAGGAAAGAGATATATAAATTAGAGGAGAAATAAACAAAATTGAAAGCAAAAAAGAATATAAATATCAGTGAAATGAAGAACTTGCTTAAAAAATTTATACACTCTTGGTCCAACTATCCTTAAAAAAAAAAAGACCCCAATCAGTAAAATCAGAGATGAAAAATGAAAGGTAACAACAGATACCACAGATGATTAAAAGACTTACCCATCAGGAGCTAATACAAAGGACTGTATGCCAACCAATTAAAAAGTCTGTCTCTCCTACTCCATCTATAATTCTGCCTCACAAATAAATAAATAAAACTTTCAAATAAACCATAGGCTTATTTCAATAGATGCAGAGAAAGCATTTGACAAAATACAACATCCTTTCATAGTGAAAACCTTAAGGAAACTGAGTGTAGTAAGAACATTGCTCAACATAATCAAGGCAATTTATGACAAACCTATAGACAGCATCTTATGAATGGGGAAATGTTGGAAGCATTCCCTGAAGAGCTGGAATCAGACAAGGATGACAACTTGTGCCCTTGCTATTCAATATAGACCTGGAAGTTTTAGCCAGACCTATTAGGCAAGAAAAAGAAATCCAAGGATACAAACTGGGAAGGAGGGAGTCAAATTACCCCTACTTGCGGGTGACAGGATTCTATATATAGGGGGAATAAGTCTCCACTAAGAGATTACTGGAATTCATAAAAAGAGTCTGGGGGAGTGCCAGGATACAAAATTAACACAAAAATCAATAGTCTATGTATAAAATGCCATGGCTGGGAAAGAACTTCTAAGATCAATCCCATTCACAATTGCTACAAAAAAATTAAACACCATGGGATAAAATTAATCAAGGATGCCAAAGTATCTAATATGAAAATTAGCAAACATTAGTGAAAGAAACAGAAGACACAGAAAATGGAAAAAGCTTTAATATTCAAGGACTAAAATAATCAATATTATCAAAATGTCCATAGTACCAAAAGCAATTTACAAATTCATGTCATCCCAATTAAAATGCCAATTACATTCTTTTCAGATCTAGGGGAAAAAGATGCTAAAATTCAAATGGAAACACAAGAGACCCAGAATAGCTAATGGAATCTTATATGTGAACAACAAAGCCAGAAGCATCACAATACCAGAATTCAAGACATACTTCAGGACAGTTACAAACAAAACAGCCTGATACTGGCAAAGAATAGACATGTGGACCAATGGAGCACAATAGAAACTCCAAAAACTCAATCCACACATCTACAAATAATTTATCTTTGACAAAGGATCTAAAATCCAACCATGTGACAAGGTCAGTCTCTTCAAAAAATGGTGCATAAAAGGTGGATCTGCCATGCAGAAGTATGAAAATAAAAACCTACCTTATTCTGATACAAAAAAAAAAAACTCAAAAAAGGATCAAAGACCTAAATGTACAACCTAATACCATCAAATTCTTAGAGAACATTATGGAAATGATGCAAGACATTGCCAGATGCAGACTTCTTGGAACACAGACGTACAGGCAATAAAAGCAAAAACACACAAATGGGATTACATCAAGCTGAGAAGCTTTTGCACTGTAAATGAAAACTCAGCAAAGTGAAGGGCAACTGACAGAATGAGAGAAAATATATGCAAACTATGACCTGATAAATTGTTAATATCCAGAATGTATAAAGTGCTCAAGAAACTCAACAACAACAAAACAAACAATGCAGTTAAGAATGGGCAACAGGCCGGCGCCGCGGCTCACTAGGCTAATCCTCCACCTAGCGGCGCCGGCACACCGGGTTCTAGTCCCGGGCGGGGCGCCGGATTCTGTCCCGGTTGCCCCTCTTCCAGGCCAGCCCTCTGCTGTGGCCAGGGAGTGCAGTGGAGGATGGCCCAGGTGCTTGGGCCCTGCACCCCATGGGAGACCAGGAAAAGCACCTGGCTCCTGGCTCCTGCCATCGGATCAGCGCGGTGCGCCGGCCGCAGCGTGCCGACCGCGGCGGCCATTGGAGGGTGAACCTACGGCAAAGGAAGACCTTTCTCTCTGTCTCTCTCTCTCACTGTCCACTCTGCCTGTCAAAAAAAAAAAAAAAAAGAATGGGCAACAGACTTGAACAGACATTCCTCAAGGAAAGAAATGCAAATGACCAACAGACACATGAAAAAATGCTCAGGATCACTAGCCATTAGCGAAATGCAAAACGAAACCACAATGAAGTTTCACCTCACCACAGTTAGAATGGTTTGCATACAGAAATCAACAAACAACAAATGCTGGAAAGGATGTGGCAAAACAGTACACAAGTGGCCAGTGCCGTGGTGCACGAGGTGAATCCTCCTCCTGCGGTGCTGGCATCCCATATGGGCACCGGGTTCTAAACCCAGCTTCCCCTCTTCCAGTCCAGCTCTCTGCTGTGGCCTGGAAAAGCAATGAAGGATGGCCCAAGTGCTTGGGCCTCTGCACCCTTATGGGAGACCAGGAAGAGGCACCTGGCTCCTGGATTTGGATCGGTGCAGCTCTGGCAATTGTGGCCATTTGGGGGGTGAACCATTGGATGAACACTTTTCTCTCTGACTCTCTCTCACTGTCTGTAACTCTTCCTGTCAATTATTAATATAATTATAATAATATATTAATATTATTAATATAAATAACATAATAATAATAACGCAGTACCCTAATCCACTGGGAATGTCATCTGGTGAAGCCATTGTGGAAGACAGTATGGAGACACCTCAAAAGGCTGAAAATAGATGAATCATATGAACCAGCAATGCCACTCATGGGAATTTACCTAAACAAATTGAAATCAGCAGATGAAAGAGTTATCTGTACCCACGTTTATGGCTGCTCAATTCACAACAGCTAAGATATGGAATCAATCCAGATGTCTATCAAATGATGATTAGATAAAGAAATTATGGAGGCCAGCACAAAGTGGGTTAAGCCTCCTACTTGCTGCACCAGCATCCCATAGGTGTTCCTGTTCGAAGCCTGGATCCTCCCTGATGAAGGCCTAGGAAAACAGTGGAAGATGGCCCAAGTCCTTGGGCCCTTGCACCTGCGTGGGAGACCCAAAAGAAAGCTCCTGGCTCCTGGCTTTGCATCAGCCCAGTTCTAGCCATTGCATCCATTTAGAGAGTGAACCAGAAGGAAGACCTCTCATTCTCAGATGGAAGATCTCTCGTTCTCTGTCTCTCCCTCTCTCAACTCTGCCTCTCAGAAAAATGAATCTTGAAAAAAGTAACTATGGTATATATACACTATGGAATACTATTCAGCAGGAAAAAATGCAATGAAGTCTTTGCAACAAAATGGATATAACTAGAAAACATTATACTTAGTGAAATAAGCTAGTCCCCAAAAGACAAATACCACATGTTGTCCCTGATCTGCGGTGACTAATAGAGTATTTAACAGGTAATAATGTGTAGGAATAAAATGAGTATTTTGAGATATGATGCTTTTTTTTACAAGCCTTGTCTCACTTTGAGAAACAATTTATTTTCTTCATACTATTTGTTGAACTTTTTACTTAGTGAATAGTGACTATTTTGAGTATAAAGTTACCTGAAAATATTTTTCTATTAAAATTAACAGTGGATCAGCTTA